ACAGCCGCCAGAACTATCCCATACTGCTGGCGTGAGCAAATCAAGAGCCAACTGGACGAACTGGTGGCCAAGGGCATCGCAGCCCCGGTGGACTACCCTACAGAGTGGTGCCACCCCATGGTGCCCATTCCAAAACGCCAGGGAGGAGCCAGGCTGGTCGTGGACATGACCGCCATCAACAGATTCGTAAAGCGGCCCACCTATCCCGTCAGGCCGATTCACGACTCGGTGGCGTCCATCGACGGAGACACGCGATGGCTGACCACTCTGGATGCCGCCATGGGCTACTTTCAGGTCCCGATTGCCGAGGAGTCGCAAGATCTCACCTGCTTTATCACCCCGTGGGGCAGGATGAAGTTCCTGAGGGCCCCGATGGGCCTCGTATCCTCGGGCGACGAGTATAATCGGCGAGGTGACGCAGCACTCGGTGATATTCCGCGGACTCTGAAAATCGTGGATGACCTCCTTCTGCATGACGCCACGTATCGCGCCCATCTCGCCCATGTGATCGCCGTGCTTCAGCGCTGCCAGGAGACGGGCATCACGATCAACCCACGAAAATTCCAGTTCGCGCAGCCGTCACTGGACTACTGCGGCTATCGCATCTCTGGACAAGGCTACACTGTGGACAATCGCAAGCTGCAGGCGATCTCCGAGTTCCCACGGCCGGAGAATCTCACCGATCTCAGGTCCTTCCTAGGGTTCACCAATCAGCTGGCTGGATTCTCATCGGAGATCGCCAGTGCGGCTCAGCCCCTCCGTGACCTGCTGGAGCAGCGCCTGCCATGCGAATTGTGTAGCACGAATTAGTGTTCTTGTTTCTTACGGGGTGGAAAGAAAATATGTTTTGATTTTGAATCAATATGGCGGACACATTACATGCATTTGCGCGTGATTTTTTTTTAATTTTATCAGTTTGCACGTTCCTTGAATTTTGGAATGAGATACGGCACGTTCACTCTGAACAAACATGTTGCTCGGGACGGAGGAAAAGACCAAAGTGGTCAAATGGTACTGCGAAACTAGATCAATCATCGCCACCAAGAGAAAGTTCAGGACACACTTCAAGACGAAGTGCGCCCCATGCGCTAAATTAATTTTGCGACTTCAGGAAAATTTTTGGCTCATGGTTCGGTTCTCAATCAGCATAAGGGAAAAAGTGGCAGAAAAAAGGTCAAAACGAACAGAACATGACATCTTGAAGGTCAAGAACATCATCTCAACCACTCCATCGAAATCGATCCGGAAGCTGGCACAAGAGATATGAACCAGTCACACTACCGTCCGCCATATCTTGCGTGAAAACTTGAAGCTTACTCTCTTTAGGATCACCTCCCACCAGAAACTCTACAGGGTGTCCCAAAATTAATGTCACACCCTCTCACAACCTTTGTTTTGCCTTCTACTGCGCAATATCAATATAATTTCACCGGAATTGGCTTCCAGACCATATTGGCTACATTCTAGTCACGTGACCTTCGAATTTTTTGTGACCCTGTCCGGTCAAGGGGTGTACGGAAGTCATTTCCGGGGCAGTACCCAGCGCGCGCGGACCAGGTGTCCAGGATGGCGAAACTGCAGAGCAAATCGTCTCGCGGCGGGGCAGTCGGCACGGTTGCCGGTGGCATGACCCACGGCCAGGTCGCCGAGGTACTGGGCATGAGTTGTCGCACGATTTGGCGCTGGTTATCACGCGACAGAAGCGGATAGACGCCTGGGAACAAGCTAGGTCGCGGCAGGAAGACTTCCGCCAGCCGGGTATAGCGCAGATCGTCATCGCGAAGTGCGGAGCTAAAGACGGGCTTATCCACAAGGAAACTGGCAAGGAGGCTGATTGCCAGCAGTCATCCAGTCTTCAAATTGATAATCCATCGGTACCGGAGGATGTCTCTAAAGCTGAAGCCCAACAAGCCACGTTTCCAGCCGAAAACTTCTGCTGAACATGTCCAGGGCCATCTTTCAACAGGTCGGCGCCCCGGCTCATCGAGCTAGAACGACGAAGGACTGGTACAGATCGAACTTCCCAGCATTCTGGAAGAACAAATGGCCGGTGAATAGCCTCGGCCTGTCGCCGATAGAAAACCTTTGGGCGATCGTCCTGTTTGTAAGAGGTGAGCAAAACGGCGCCAGGATAACCTGAACGCACGCTGACCAGGAACGTTCGATCTGTCTGGTCCAAGCTCAGTCCACAGAAGCTAGACATGTTGATGTCTGATGTCCCGGACCGTATGCTTGCCCGCATCAGGGAGAAGGGGGGATGCATATGCAAGAAAAGCGCACCTCTTATGTTTGTTATTTTCATGAAATTGACGCTGGAATGGTGTGACATTATTTTTTGGACACCCTGTATGACGGTGATCAGGAACAACGACTGGCGTTTTCGAACTGGCTGAAGGAGAAGACTGACTCGGATCCTGCATTCTTGAAACGGATCATCTTCAGCGACGAAGCACATTTTCATTTGAACGGCACTGTCGTCTGTCAACAGCCAGAACAGCCGATTGTGGGCTTCCAGCCGTCCAGACACAGTGCAGGAGAGCCCGATGCACAGCCCGAAGGTGACGTGTTGGTGTGCTGTGACCGCTGGTGGCCTTATCGGGCCATTTTTCTTCGAGACCTCGAACGGCGCCACCATCACCATCAACAAGGAACGTTGCGTCAAAGTGCTGGAGAGGCTCTGGCGCACGCTAGTGACAGATCCGGATATTTCCACCGAGAACATCTGGTTTCAGCAAGACGGGGCACCACCCCACACCTCAAGATTGGCCCTCTCCTGGCTGGAGGACCACTTTGGAGGCCGCGTGATCAGCCAGAAGACCGAGATCCCGTGGCCGGCCCACTCCCCAGATCTGACGCCCCTGGATTTTTATCTGTGGGGCTTCATGAAGACGCAGGTGTACGCCATGAAACCAGAGAGTCTCCCGGAACTAAAGAAGGCGATCCGAAAGGTGGCGCGTGCAATCACGCCTCAGACATGCGCCAAAGCCATCGCTGAGGTTGGAAAGCGCACGGAGCTTTGCATCCTGCGAAATGGAGGCCATCTGGAACACGTGCTGCGATGGGCGTCCAAAGGCGAGGAGGAGTATGGGTGACAGGAGAAACTAAACTTCCTGAACTGGTGACGCATATTGGCCAATACATCTGCTGATATTGTATTCGTTTTGACTTTATGGGCTGTGAAAATGAGAACATATTTTTCTTTCCACCCTCTAAATTAAAGTGTCTCCAATGCACATATAACGAACGACTGAAAGCTTGGGATGTACCTATTTGTATTTTTTTTTTTGTTTCTCACTCACTGATGATGGTGTTAATTAATACACCGAAACCGGTCTAATCATAATGAATTTGATACAATGTCTAATATTAAGGCTGAGCTACACTATGCGTGACCGTCCAGGAAATTACGTGCGTGATCTGCAGATCCGTGATTGCGAGACTCCCTTGACATCGGTTTTTGCGATTTTCCAGAATTTCCGTGAATTATTGTATGCTGATTGCTGACGTAATAATAACAACTAATAAATGGTTCCGCAGCACAATTATTAATTACGTCACTTGGATTCATACGGTGCGCCACCAAGTACGCCAACAACTGTCTCATATCACGCAATCTCGCAGATTCTGCAAAAAAGTTCGTATCTCTGAACTTTATATCGGTACGGAACATCCTGACCGTCCTGACTATCCGGAATTTCCTGTACTGAACGTCCGGGATTTCCTTGACTGAATCTTCGTGACCCCAGTGTAGCCGACCCTGTGTATTTCCTAGCAGCTGAACTTGACCTGCGCACCGATTTTCTGCAAAACCCGCAAACTCGCAGATCACGGACGTAGGATCCCGCATAGTGTAGCTAGACCTTTACGTTTCCTAAAGCAAAAGCTGTCGGGATTATAAATACATAAGCGACTGTTTTCAATATTATGCTTTCGATGTTTTATCTTTTCTATATTTTGTCTTTCGATATATTGTCTTTCGATATTTTGTCTTTCGATATATTGTCTTTCGATATTTTGTCTTTTCGATATTTTGTAACTTCGATATTATGCATTGCTAATCGATATTTTGCTTTCGATATTTCGTCGTTTCGATATTTTACCTTCGATATTTTGCGATTCAATATTTTTCATTTCGATATTTTGTCCGGAACCCAAATCAACTACCTTATTTTTCACTGAAACTAGTCGTAATGATCCATTATACCATAAATGACTTCATTTATGATCAACCTTGACTACCTTGATGTATTGATTGCTATTGGATAACTCTAAGGTCATGTGACGTCATCAAACGTCACCGATTTTTTTTTTTGCTTATAACTCCTTACAGAAAAGAGATACAGTGAATGGTCTCATTGTGTTCAGATCGTGAAGGCGCATGGAATGATATACTTGATGACGTTGAGGTCACGTGACCTGAGGTTAACCTTTGACGTTGACCTTTCAAGATCAACACATCTATGTTTCGATGCTGATTGACGAGAGGATCACGGTGATGATATGTTTTTCTCAGCGTGTCTCATTTGTCCTAGCTTTATTACTTTTTTATAAATTTAGTCCGAACCTTTTGATGGGAAGGATTCACAAGGAGAGAGCCACCGCTAAGCGAAGTTTGTTGCGGTGACCCTGCCCTCTACCCTCTGATCTTGCAATTCCAGTTCTATGGCAGAATTTAGAGTCCAAAGTTTAACGTCCGCACATAGCCGCACACGGCCGGTCCCCTCACTGACCTCACCTGGCTACGGCCTGCCACCAACCGCAACCATACCCGTCAGGAGGCCCATAAATGTCAAGCGCCCGTCGCGCTTCGTACGCGGACTGTTGTAACCGGGAACGCGTGCTCTCACCACGCGGAGTCCAACGCTCTACCAACTGACCTACGGGACCGGCTACGGGATTACTTAAATCATTATTCGTGAAAAACTGTCTATATTTAGCGCCGCTATTTTGACCTACTTTGTTTCCGATCTTGTATCACCTATGAAATGTTTGTTCTGCAGGTCTCCGATTAAAAGTATGGCAACTTCGTCAAGTGCTATTGAATCAGATGCAACATTCAACTCATTTTACTGTGAGGTAAGTGACGCAGGTGATTCTGGTCGACCTGGTTCCCGGACTGGGTAAATGGGTCACTAAAATAGAATAGTTATATTAATAGCACGTGCCAGCTCCGCTTGGCATCACACTTTTTGTGTTGTATCTATGTACGTGGGGCGAATGAAAAGTTTTGAGCCTAACACATTTGCAGGTGAGTGGTGACACAGGTTAATGAAAATTTGGTCACATCTTTTGCCACTAGTTAGATGTGGGAAGGTACACCAAGTTTTGAAGTCCTAGCCAGTGACGTAGCCAGAGATCAGCGAAAGGGGGGCCATGGTGCTCGAGGGGGCGACTTTGTCCCTTGAGAGGGGCGCCATTGTCAGCTAGTGAGGGGCGTCAGTCTAAAATGTAACGTCATTTTTATGATTTATTAGGTGTTGCAAAATACGAGTATAAGAACCAGCATTCGCCGATTTTTCATAAAGTCCGATTAATGTAATTTGCAGCCCGGTGTTTTTTTTTATAAAAAAAACCTTGATCTTGATAAATTTTAAGCATGATATAGGAAGCGAGCTCAGGCTACAAACATTTTATTCTCAAAATACGCATCCATGCGAATTCGAAGCGGTAAAATATACGTTGATCGATAGGCACAATCTATATTATTTGAAAAAAAAAATACAGGCCTACTCACTGATCCAAAGTGACCTGTGGGCTGCAGCCTGTGGTCGACCGGGGTGGCTGTGCTTAGAATCTCAAACCGCACGTATGTAGGATTCACGCTGCGACTCATTGCCTAAATTGGGATCAAGGAAAGACTTGAACAAGACCATGAGATCCACCATGAGATCCCAACTCATTGTCATACCAGCAGCGACTGCAGTCAGAGGCGACCGAACGCTGACATACGTTCTGGATTTTTTTTATCCACAAATCACCTTTACAATTCGATGTCTAGTGCGTGCAGCCCCTACTTGTGGACATGCATGACTGCCTCCAGTGACTGACTGTCACTAGCCTCCAGAGGACAAAAACTCCAAAAATTGCAGTTTTAATTAAAAACATTTTCTGCAATAACTTTTGACTCAAGACAGTGACGACATTTATTTTGCCAGCATCGTCTTCCTCTCGTCGAAACGCGTCGAATGAACTATTCGTTGACCTTGAAAGACCATTTTGAAAATTTGACCTCAGGTCAAGGTCATGACCTGACCGGAAACGGTCATGCTGTATATCAGTCGATCCGTATCGTCGAGTTGAACACATCTGACGTGTTTTCACCGCTCTAGCACGCCTCTATCAAAAGTTATAGCCAAAGAACTGCTGGTGACCGTTCATGACCTGAGATGACCTCAGAGGCACACACAGGTGCATTTTTTACGATTCAGTGTGTTGTGTTTACCTGTGAACCGATGTTTGAGAGGGTTTTGAACCACATTCGTTCAAAAGAGGCGCATTTCAATTTTCTCCAATTGACTCATGATGGAGAGGTTGCAAAATTGACCTGATCTTAGGTCATAGATATCAAAAGTCCGAGATAAACATTTTATACATGTTTTTGTTCTTATCAATCTCTGAAAGTTTGAAAAGTGATCGTTCAGTCGGTGTAGCTATAGCGAGCCTTTAAACTTTTTCTGAGGTAAGGTCACTTGACGTGACCTGACCTTGAACGACCCGGGTCTGAAATTTTCACAAGATGTGTGGAAAAGATGTATGAACAGGTGTACCAAAAAAACGGTGGCACTGCGCGACGCCGTTTTGGAGATATTCGCAAAAAACCTAAGGGGGGGGGGGCGTAAAAATGCCCCCCTCCCCCAGCATGGCGCGGGTTAATGGGAGAAAATTGAAATGATCTTCTTTTGAACGAAAACACCCTCGAACATCTGGGTACAGGTAAATATGACACATGTAATCGGAAAATTTCACTCGTGATGTGACCCCTTTTATGTTACTGAGGTCATATCAGGCCATGGAAGGTCTTCAGTAGTTTTTGGACAATAACTTTTGATAGAGATATGGTAGAGCAACGAAACACCTTATGTAATTATTTTCCTTCTCAACAATACGGATCGACTGATATGCAAAATGACCATTCCCGGTTAGGTGATGACCTTCACCTTTGCACTGTGGGGACTTCGCCCCTCCTAGCACGACTTTACTCCTGCGGCGGTACGCCGCAGTCAGCTGACCGCCGCGGCGCCGGGCAGCGCGGCGCACAGTGGGCCAGGCGCATCAAAAAAGCGGAATTAAGTCGAAAATCAACTTCGGTGAAATTCCTGTAATTATGGGATAGAGTGTTGTAAAAATGTCCAAAGTTTCCGAATAAGCAAGTTTCATTTCCCCAGTGTCAAGGCAGATAATGCTATAACGTCGCAAAGTAGGACTTACCGACTGGAGATGGAAATGGGTGCTGTGTACCATATTCCGTTCCCCCGATTCAAAAGCTCTCAGCGTAAAATCATTAAAGTTATTCCGTACAAAATAGCTTTAAAAAAACAGCCGGTATTTCTGCGCATGTTTCTCGTACTCAAGTTCCCGGGAACTATTTCATGCTTACTAGTAGCGGTGGAGTTTACAGTGCCTGTTCGGAACCGTGGTAGTGCAACGACGCAATGAATTTATATAAGGATATAAAGAAAACGTCACCGAACAACACGAAGATATTTGCTGCCTGACTTTCCTCAAGGTGTATAGCTTGCTGCCCAATGCAAATATTTTGCGCATTTTTGCGCGAAATGGGCAAATAGGGGTTTAACCCTCGCCGGCATAGGCCGTTTTGCATCCCTCGACGGCACAGGGGGATGCGACCCTCCTCGCGTTTGGCCCCTAATTGAGCTAGAGCCTCGCGGAAAAACCATCGTGTAGGTCGTCACGAGACGAAGCCAACGGTACCCGGTTTTAAGGTCATAGGTCAAATGGTGACCTCTGAGGTCAGGTCAATGGCCGAAAGTCGGGACCTGTTAGAACGTCGTATAGTGTGGCTGCTAAGGGGTTTTTCGGGATGCTGATCACGAATATCATGTTAGTTTTGATCACAGATGATGTCTTCATGCATTTAGGCCAGGTCGGGTCAGCTCAGGTCAGGTCAACCAGTATGGGTCCTGCCGGGTATTCGTAGTAGGTGTCAACCCGCCTCTAACAACTTCGTAACATGTTACGAAGGCACCAAAACTACTTCGTAAATGTTCAAATGGTTCCTAAATTCGAATTCAGCTCCAAAAACTAGCTCAGAAACATGTAAAACTCGAAAAAGTGAACCGAGGTCATCGAAGAAGGTAAATGACCTGACCTGACCTTCAGGTGACCTTTACACCCACCCTAATGCATGGGACCAACATCATATCACATGTTTGAACGCTAGAAACCACGAAAAGACTGCAAACGCGCGGCCAATGCGGCATAGTGCCCGCCTGTCCCAGGCATATGTGCAGCGCAGAAATTAAAAAAATGACGTCATAGGTCAATGACCTAGCGTAACCAATCAAATTTGGAAATGGATATCGGATTCGGCTTTAGCATGATATTTTACCCTGTAACGAATCATTTTTGGCACCGCAGCTGTGCTCATTGATTTAATTCCGCTTTTTTGAAGCGCCTGGCCCACTGTGCGGCGGAGCGCTGGGAGCCACGCGACATCATCTGCTTTGATGTCTCGTAGTAGCTGTTTGGGCAAAATTGGGCAAAAGATAAGAGTTGATTCCAATGCAGAATTTTTGGGAGAATATTTTGATATGTGTTTCCACACGTAACCCCTGCGGCGCGCACACTGGTCGGAAACGCCCTCACGAGAGGCCACGGGCGATTCCGGAGTTTCGGATTATTTTTTATATAGATCGATTTGAAATTGATCAAATTATTATACTTAGGCCAAAAAAAACTAATCCGGGTGACCAAAAATAGCTGTAATCAGCCCCCGACGATGGGTTATCCCAGAACTCGGAAACTGACGCGGAGCAAGAGGTTTCTTGAGCTGGATATTCCGAGTCTTATTGCTGATAGACACCAAATTGAAATCCCACATATTATGCATCAAAATGTTCGTTATGTAGTTGCCGACTGGTCAGTGCAAATTTTTTGGTATACTTTTTCCCTAACTAAGATGTACTATAGCTTTTTTATGAAGGCTCTCCTACAGTGATTCTGGAATATAACTGCAAAGTTTAGGTAAGGAAACAACAGGTAGTCCCATCTAGTTCCACTCTGGTTTTTTGTGAGATGAAGTAGGATTTAGATTTACACCAGGGCAACATAAAAGCTAACTGCGCATTTTTGCGCAAAATTTGCCGGAGCCGCTCTTCCTACCCAACTACCGCCCGCCCCGCCCCAGTTTCGGCTCGGCCGCCGCGCCCGGCTTACGCTGACCTGTGTGGCCTGCACGCATCCATGCGTAGTTGACTGGTCATTAAAAACAGATGCGCTTGAGTTTATGAATTTTGTGAAAAGCGCGTTTTATGTATGCATTTATGTATGTATTGACATCAAAAGCCTTCCACATATTGCGTGGCGATTACGGCTTGCATTTAGAGAGCCTTGCTATTGACAACCATCACTCGGCTGAAGAAAGTGGAAATTAAAACCTTCGTGAATATAAGACGCTGCAAATATAGGACACCTGTCACTGACGTCGGGTTACCTTGGGCCGTCTTTTTACATTAGATCACAATTCCGGTATTTAACCCTGGCCGGACCGATTGGTTTTCTACATTGACCGGGGAGGGTTGGTACAACTCCCTCGCCGTTGCGCCTGTAATTGAGCTAGAGCCTCGCGGAAAAAAACACGCTTGTGTGCCGTTATAAGACGCAAAAATTAGGTACAAAATTAGGTACAAAAATGTATGGGAGCAACTTTGCCAAAAATGGTCGCACTGCCGCGATTTTGGCATAATCTTGTTTGTCTAGCTCAGGCGCGTTGAATGCTATACTTGGTGTTCGGGTGAAGTCAACTTAACCCTCGCCGGCACAGGCCATTTTGCGTCCTTCGACGGCACAAGGGGGGGGGGGGTTGGTTGGTACGACCCCCCTCGCGTTTGGCCCCT